CGGCAGTCACCCAGGTGGCGGCATCTGGCGGATGGGGTGACCGGCTATAGCCGGAGACACGTTTCGATTCGCTTTACATAAACTAGCATATACGTACGTATCAATAAACATTGTGTCTGTTGCCAAAGGTGGAATCTGGCAGACATTTGATTCGAAACGCTACCAGTATTCATTGTTTGTACGTCAGGCCACCGCCTTGATTATCTTTTAATGAAGCTGAGCGCTTTGTCGATTGCCGCTCCGTTGGTCACTAATGAGTTCCTGTGGTCAGATACTAATGAGCCTGATTAGATCTTGCATCGGTCTTTGCCTCTGATAGCCACAAGATTGCCCCTGCTGCTTTTCTAATGTCGTCGGGTTCGTTGACCGTTGCCCGTACACTGCACAGGACAAGGAGTCGAGAGGGGAGGCAAAACAGATAAGAGCGGCGAATCGATACCGCAAGGGCACTATTGAGGCCATTAGAACAGAGCAGAATAGAAGTTATCGCGACGTCGTCCGCTGTAATAATCGGTGGCGTCGGCGCTCATGACAGCGTTAAGAGAATCGTAGGAAGCTGAGACACTATTTAGCATGTTTGCGATTAGAAAATACAGAAGCCAAATGAGATTTTAAGTGTTGAGAAAGTAATCTAATTGTAACAAAAACGACTACTGATTACTAGACGATACAAAAGTTGATAAGTTAACAAAAATGGCTATTCATTTTCGAAGTCGGTTCTGTCCTAACCTTAAATGATATCGACTTAAAACTGAAATAATAGTGACAAAACGCTTTTCTAGAAGCGGACCAAAGCATCAAATAAGGCCAACTACATACAATACAAAAAGGCTCAAAAATTATGTTTGTATCGATTGCATTAACTCGCCAGCAGCGGCAAAAGCACTCTCTCTCTCTCTCTCTCTCTCTCTGTCTATTTTTCATCGTTATCTCTAAATGTAATTGCAAATAAATATACTTCCAAGTGGCCAGATCCGGAAGTCACCCAAACAGATCTCATAATAAAAAAAAGTACATCACCTCTTTCATTGGATAGGGCTGGTACTATTGCTACCGTTCCCTTCCTAAATACTGTTGCTAGTCGTCATAACCATAGCGGTCTTTTGATGCTAAGCCCGAAAGCTCGCTACACCTGTGAGCGTACATATTTGTATCTGTGCGTAAGTTCCTGCACTGTTTCCTGGTTGGCACATTTCCGCCGGACACAACAACCCCCCCCCTCCCCCACAACAGAAAAATGGCAAGCTAGAGCCGCTTGGGGACAACTAGACTAGCGATCAACTTCCTTCCACACGTCCGCTCCCCTGCGATGAACCAAACCATAAAATGAGCCAATAATTACAAACCAGTTGTACGTGTCATGCAGTTGAGTATCAGCTTGAATTTACAATGAACTCATTAGCAGCCACGATAGCGTCTGTTAACAGTACCGGAATTCAAAACGTCGAAGAAAGCAAAATAATTATCGACTTTGTGCCCATATCATAAAAAGACTGCTCTAATGATAAGCGATTGGGCATCGTAGAGCAGAGGATTGTCTCGATACGTTACCGAGACAGGCGGGCCAACGATGGCTCTCCTGTGGCTATCTTCATTACTATATTTATACAATTTTTATCTTCTTCGCAATAATTGCCGGCAGAGTTGTATACATATATAATCTGTCGCTGCAGCAAAACGCCGCATGTTATTATATTGCTCACCTTATTTTATCAGTGGTGTCGTCGAAGATACGCGTGGAGCTAAAGTAAAAGCAAAGAACAAACGTTGCCAATTCGCCTTCCCTGGCGAGGCCCATCATCATCATCACCAGTGATTATTGATTTCATTAATGAGCCAATGAAAAAGGACGTTTGATCCTACCAGTCCCAAAAGGCAATTATACAAACACCAAAAAAATTTAGATTTTGCTTCATTTACATTCGCTGCTGATCATGTTTTCGATTCCAGTTGATCTCGGTGCCCGTTCTCAACAAATATTAAACCAAATCCAATTGAAATTTAATAAGTAAGGGACGCGATGGCGCATGCGACTGGCGGCAAATTTAGGACTCGCTGATGACGTTTGGACTTTTCATGTTATGCTCAGTCTGAGAACCTCTCGTTTTAACCGTTTTATCTATTAGTAGTGAAAGACCGGGTGTTTACTGGGCCTTTTGGGGATTACATCACCTTCACAAAGATTGCTCAACTATGCAGCGACATATCAATATAAATGCACCGCTTTATCAATCTGAAGAATAAACGATAAATAAAATATGCATGTACGTATCATACAGATAGTCGAATTAGTTAAATGGCTACCGATCGCTGGTGCAATAGTGACCTTCTGCATAGACAAACCGCACGATAGTTAGCTTACAGCAGTTGTCAAGTACCTGTACACCTCCAACGGGGCCGGTAGCTGCTCGCCGTCAGGACGGTCAGTGCACGATGATGCACGCGTACGCTAAATTGGCACCACTATCGTGTCTCGTATTTATTCTGCTTCTGCTACTTCATAGTACGTCAGTCACAAAGAGATGGTGGTGCTGTGACGCTTTTTGATTCACAGAATGATCGTTTTCGTTCGATAGTTTATTAGTTGCAGTAGACAAATGATTAACACCTATAGATGCTGTTATTGTTGACATCGTGTCTTAATCTTATAACAGCATGGTAGGTGACTTAGAAGATTCTATTCCCTTCAAAGTGTCCGTGCTACTGATCGAATTTGGTGCGAGATTTATCTTTTGCACGCCTATTCTCTAGCTACGTTTTCTGAGATTGCATCAACTACCCGTGCGGCAAACCAACCTTCGGTTACCCACAAATTCGAACTCGGGTTCGAGCACAGCTGATATCGGCGACTCCCGAACACCTTGAAGGGAGGGCACTGAATTATATTAAGTCCACTTGAGAAAATCTCTCTGGTTGTATCTAAATGCAGTGACCTTTTTATTCCATTGCGCACATCACGCACACGACCAGGTCCTTTTGCGTTGCTGATGCAAATCCGAAAATTGACGGCCGTACACATCCGACTTCGCCTCGCCGATAGTAATAACACAGCATTTCGAGTCAACGAACGGTTTCGAATGCTGAACAAATGGACGTCGACGACTGTCGTTGGAAAATCGCGCGGTGAATGAACCCGGTGGCGTCGCGAACATTTCCAGAGATCTAAGGGTCGCTTGGTCTACCAGACGAAACAGCCCAGTCAATAGCTTTGGTTCAGCACGATTTTAAAGACGATGCAGCTGATGGCGTAGCTGAAAAGCAGCGTGAGCAGCTAAATCGCGAACGAGTCACAAGAACCCTGCCGAATTGCGCCGATCGCTTGAAGTGTATCAGTGACTGAGAAGGAAAGAAAGCTGGGTGGTTCCACTTTTCAATGCGATTGCTTCGTACAGTCTTGTCCCTTATAAACACGTACGTACAGGGTATGGCATATGACAAAATAACGACACGGTCCATCGGCCGTCCTATTCGACTAGTCTACTCAACGTGAAATGTTTTTTCGTTTGAGTGTTGCCATGATTTGTGCTTCTAGAAGGAAAGTCGTTCCGAGCAGCGGTAAAATATAGTGGATTTAATTGTCTGCTGTGGATTTTGTTTGCTCTGCAAGAGTCAAGGGTAGCATATCTTTAGCCGTAGAGCATGCATCAATAGTATCCCAAAATTCAGTATTTACATATGTGCTTATACAATAGATTTGTCAAATGTATGTAATAACTGCAGGCTTGTCCATGCTCAGTTTCTTACTATTGATCGGGATGCGACCAAATCTATAAAAATAAAAAAATCTAGCCTATTTTACAATCCATACACATTGAGCATTTTCAGTGGAATCAACAAGCACTCACTAGTTTGTTCCATTCTTAACCCATTCGATTGCTAGCTTCATAACGAGACATAACATCCCAAATATATAGAAAGTTCATCAGGAAAGCTTTGAAACTTTGCCTCTGGCCGTCTAGGTTAATGCATAACAGTACCGAACCTGAATTTAGAAACAATGCTAGACCTATATATATATATATATATATATATATATATATATATATACATATTCTGGAACCAACTAATCACACTTGGATTAAAAAATAAGTCTACAGTTTTTCCTTTCAATGTCAATATGTTTGAAGTTTGAGACCCGTTTCTGTGAAGGGAGAACTATCTTTGTTTGCGGACAGCTAATGGTCATCAACAATTACTAGAAAGCCGGTGTTACCTCTACAGCGATCAAATAGCGTTATGTATACTCACGTACGAGTCGGTCATGAAGATTCTTCGAAGGAAAATTAGACTAGATTTTGTTCTAACGTAGAAAAAAAAGACAGTGAGAAGAATGTCTACAGAAGACCAAAAGAAATAATCCTCGGGACGTCCGCATCATTAGAGATACGACCGTACTACGCATAGCCCGATTATTGGGACACGCTTTGTCATACAGGCCTTCATTCTCCATGAAGACTCAGCCAATACTGGCAGGAGAAGCTCCTGTCTGGGCACACGTTGCGTGACGACACGTGATTTTTTCTCGTACCTTCACCAGCGCCGACAGATTCTACCAACCAGATCCGATCATAGAACACATTATATCATACTAGCAGTAACAATCGTGGCTTTATAGCACATACTCTATACCTATACATGTATAGAAAATGGTCCAATGCCTCGAGAGAAGTACTTCAGCATTACAAGCCTTCTTCACATAAGTTTAAGCTCATCTAGAAGTGGACAGTAGACAGAAAGCAGACACCGCCGACATGCCTAAAACATCTAGCTTGTCCGCTCTTTTATTCTGTGCTCTACTACTTAAAGATCGTACCGAAGAACTGCACGAAATTGCCTCAGGCGTTTCCTGTAGTCCTACCGTTTTGATCAGTTACAGTTCTCTTTTGCAACAACAGACCGTTTTGGAAAACTTTAACGACTACAAAGTTTGAAAACATTTAGAATAAGCATGGCAACGACAAGACATGATTTAAGATTTTATTTACTGTTGATCCTTGCAGCATTCGTCAGGAGTTCCATCACAATGAGTGCGGCGAACGTAGGCGATCCTCTATTAAACCGCATAACAAATGGATAGTCACAAGCGTGAAAGCTCGCTCGGTTGATAAAGAGCTGAGTAAAACATGAAAGATGTCCAACAGAGTTCAAATGCGAATTTTAATTATAGAGCGTAGCTTGTATCCGTATAATAGTGCTAAAGCAATTGAAGTAGTAATGAAGAACAAATTAAGTTCATCGTCCGAGTGAGGTAAAAATGCTGAAGACCTAAGCCGGACACTGGCGCTGTACTAGTGAAATTGCAGTTAGAACCCGGACGGATCTGTTACACCATTAGCAGCGAAAAAGCGGTGGTTGTACAATTGGCAAAGATGCACCATTACAACGACAAATTAGCATGGGTAGGTTTCGCATATGTCATAGTATCGCCCTCTAACAAAGTGGAAGCAAAGCTAAAAATCAAGCTTCCACGAGAATACCGTATGTATTCGAACATTATAGGGATTACCTTTAAAAGAAATATGGAAATTAAAAAAGTTTTCATTTCCATATTTCTTCCATTAGAACAGGGACATTAAGTAAAAATACGAGAGTCAATCAACTAAATAAACAAATAACTCGACTTCATATTATTCTGCCCTGTGGCTAAGCACTGGATAAGACCCCTGTCCGCCAATATAAACACTAGAGATTTTCGTTCGCTTCGCAAACATCTTGGTAAAAGTGGTAGGTGACCTTAAAATGTCGGATTAAAATAGAGAGGATTGATTTTCATTAATTTTGTTCGTTGATCTTATCAAACGTTCAGTATCTATGGGCAAGCTTAAGGAAACACTGCTAAACATTATCAGTTGAAAAATACGCATTAGTGTTTTAGCACTCTGTTATTACCAAACTAACGCTGTTGGCATGAGCGTCCCTAAATATCATATTTGTTGCGTTATAGGCATATTATAAAACACCAAATGAGTTTCAGCAAGGAGAAAGATTTTTCCATAATTGGGCACACTTCGCACGGCTACATAGTAGTTGAAGGTTACGAAAAGTTGCGCAGCTTTTAAGTTAGTTCTGTTGTGTAGTATTGCTTTGGATACGCATGGCGTTTGGGACTAACAGTAGCAGCAAGCCGTGCTATGCCGTCGTAATAATACTACCTGTGATTTGAATCTATCAACTAGGCTAGCTAAAACTCTCATACATATGACGACTTACTCAGTAACAGGTTAGAATCTAGGAGTAGACAGACGATTCGTTCTGCGCGTCTAACGGCGGTGTCGGACGTACAACTACAAACATTACATAACAGTCTGGCGTCATGTTAGAACAACATAAGGATCATATTCGGTTTCAAATACGACAGCCCTTTACCTAAAATCTAATTTATTCTTTTATTTTTTTTTTGTAATTTCCATGAACGGCTAGCACTGGTCGTCCGCACGAGTGGAACCGGCGCATAAAACGATAGCACGATAAAACGGTCCGTCATTAGATCGGAGTTGATTGGATCATAGTTTTGGAAGCGTATGCTAGAGCGACGTCAGGAATTACCGTAGAAAACGCAATGAGTTGTGTACCTATTGCTTTACATAGCTAGATTGATTCAAGTTTTTTTTTTTTTTTTTATCTATTTAACAAGCCTTCCTAATGATACAATTTTTGGCTCGCTCTCGCGATATTACATAGATAGTCTATAACAAACGATGTTCTGCATAGGGTTCCTGATGACACACGAAAATGCCATCCTTTCTCAACGAGTTACCTAAATGAATATCGTATAAACTGGTTAAAGTTAAGTTTCAATCGATATGGCTGCAATCTATGATGCATTTTGTGGGCTGTATAGTTGCTGATTGACAGGCACAGGACTAGTATAGGGATTGCTACATAGATATATGCTATAATCGAAACATTTATTTGAACGCAAATCTAATTGGAGAGAACGACCTGCGTTGTATCCCTCATCGCTACCTTCCTTGGTGCAGGTAGATGAAATAAGGATTTTGAAGATCCTATCCTAATTTAGTATATGTTCGATAATCTAAAGGGCTTTTAACAATTTGTTTGCACTACTTTATTTGATCTCTAGCACCGATCGGGAACGGCTTTTGTAGTTCATGGCACAGTAAGCATTCTTTGCGCACCGTAAATATTACTGAGTAACAATAATACTAATACGAATACCACTACAGACTAGGATAGGTACCCTATAAAAATGAAAGACTGACAAATATTCACATATAACGCATCCGAGATAAAGGCTGGGCTCAAATAATGAACTACATTTGATGGGACTGTTGACATGGGTTTCGTTGTAGTGGAGTTTTAAAAATTGTAGCCCAATAGTATATTGGGTTGTATATATATATATATATATATATATATAGATCCCGTTGTATACATTATATATGTATATACAGCGGGACCATAGCATAGTGGCTTGGGATCATAGGTATAGTTGCATAATGGGACCAACCCTGATCATGTTCACGAAAGTAAACCTACAAATAGGCGTGATAAATTACAGATTTGTAACGCAAGCCATAACCTAGCTTAATGGAAAATTACTTCGAAGCTACCTCATACGAATCGTTGGACTATGATATGTGCGATTTGTGTGACTGATGGTATGTCGACAGTTATGCGTATATATAGATTTGTGTGTATACGAGGTGACGAACCAGTCTCAGTACTATTCCGCGTCCTGACCCTTCCAAGATGCACCATAACTCATTGACGTGTAATAGTATACAATCTTTTTCTGGCATTTATTATAACTATAACATAAAACATATTAACGCGGAGTCATCATGCGACCCCAGTGCGAAAGTGCTCTCGGGGGCAGAACGGTACACGTACGTATAAGTGCTATATTCAATGGCGGTAACACCTGCAGATGTCCGGTTGTATTTTTGTCAGAAGATGGTCTGCTAGTTCCCACAGCGGGCAAACGTATTCCTGTTAAACAGAATGCTGTTTCTGCTAAACTCACATCTATTATAGTTACAGGTGCACGCCAAATATTGATAAATTAAGCCCCATTTGAACCACGATGACTGGTGTCATAGAGAACGTCAATGACATAACGCCTGCCGTGACCTTTGGTGCATATCAGATCATGGAAATGACACAAGAACCCCATAAATTCATGGGGTGGCATTAAAGTTGCACAATTCGGTTAATTTTCTATGCAGGTCTGTCCTAGCGACGTTGGTTGACCGAGTTGACTTGGCAAATGACTAACAGGCGCGTATGGATAAGATCGATATTCGGCTAGGAGATCTGCCCGATTCCCGTGACATGAGATCGAGCGGACGCGACTCTAATCAGACTGGGTTATTTAGATTTTGATTTAAAGCTTCGGGATAGGATCGATACGCTGGCCAGAATTGGACTGACGTTAAATAGAGGTCCTTGTATCGAAAGCGGACCATACTGTTAGATGGACAAAGGTGTTAGACGTTGCTCAGTTATCAAAAAAATCCATGAGAAATTAAGTGCTCAAATCACTATATGTTTTAAGTCGCTTTGATGAAGATTATTGTCTCTTACAGTTATCTATTTTGCCACGAAGGTTAGGCTCCATTTAAAATAAAATATCATACATATAAAACTGTTCACGAACACGATACATCAGCTTTGTACTTGCCCATCTGTACCTGCGAAAGTTTCAGGCATCATTTTAACCACTTTCGCCAACGTACCGTGCCCTGCTGCTTGTTCTTTTCTGTTTCAATATAGCGTTACATGTGTATACGTGTACGTGTGTAGATGTCTATAAGACTCTTGCGTAATATTATCGTTACTGCTAAATGTCTGTCGCGCATCCACGTATATTCCGAGACGTGAGCCGGAGCCAGTAGCCGCGGAATCGAGTTATCGCCTATAGGGGCCTTCAGTGCCTATGGCCGAGACATACGACAGAACGGCCAGAAGCGGATGGTGGGAACGAGGCAGGGAGAAAAAGCCGAAGGCAAAAGCCTTTGACGGTTTTCGTTTCTTCGCATATGTACGAGTATTTATGATTTCTGCTTCAGATTCATCGTCTCTCTCCTACCTGTGCGACGCCAGTTTGTTGACCATACCACCTGCCAAAGCGTGGTCAAAAGACTAAACGAAATTTTGCTATCATTACCCACACGATCAGTTATTCTCGGGATCAGAAATTCAGGGCTCACTGGACGAGTCAGTAACTCGTCTAAGCAACGACAAAAAAAAGCAGAAACCAAATCTCGTTTCCCCCGCCGGACTGGTACGCATCTACGATGGCGTTTTCGCAACGGAACAGCCTCAGCGTCTTCCTCTTTTTCGTTTTTGTTGTCTTCGTCCTTCTTCATAGCTCTTAGTACCTGCTTATTACTAGCTTATCTGCTGCTTGCGGCGATGTGCACCTCACAAGCGCTCCAGCGGACCGTCTCCAGACTACCGACGACGGCTGCAGCCGGCGAAATAACGGATTGCACCGATCACTCAAGTTATTTTTCTGGTTTACATTAGTTTGCGCCTCTACGTCGCACACATTCTTCTCTCCCCTTAACCGTAGACTCTATCGTGAGCGTGCTGAACTATTTTCGCCTTCCGCGTGATTTCATGTTCTGCATGTCGTGTTTCTCTTCCATATGCTTCTCCTTCGTCGTTCTCTACTTCGGATGCGTCCGTTTCGGCAACATCAGAGCACAGATTTCCCCGCTGCCACCAGCGGCCACAACGCTACCGGCTGTATTAACCGCTTCCATTGGCATCTGTTTTTCTCCGTTGCTGGTGTAATCTAGCGACCGTGATTTCTGCCTTAATGCTCGATCCTTTCTTCGTTATGTTAGCTCGTGCTGGGTCTTTCTACTCGATTTTCATCGATGTTTCATGATGCCCTTTCTATCTTGCTCCTCCACCGTCTTGTGTAAAGTGGTTGTACAATACAAATAATGTTCCGAGAAGTTCCCCTATTGGGCAACACATTTATAGTGATTCTAGCTTGTTTAGCGATGCGACAAATTACCCTACCATAGAGGGTTTTTGAAAGTGCGGCACCATAACTAATAGTGTTACTTTTCAAATTGAACCTTACGTAGATTTGTAGCCTATTGTTCGTCCGTTATGGGGACCCCATCGTATTTATTTGCCAAACGTTCACAAACTAACATCGTCAGAATAACAGTAGTCTCTATTAAGTTTGCACTGTTACTATGCCTAATGCCTAACCTCTGTGCTATTCTGTTTGCCTTTCGTGGCTAAATGATCGTGAATTAGTTTCTTTTGCTATTGCACACATTTGTGAAAGCCGTTTTTACTATCAAGTTTTCATATAGCTATATCGCGACGTCTCAGTATATAAAAAATATGTTATATTAGCTTTTTCAATGGCTTTTCGGCCGTCGAGTAGATTGATATATTTTGCTCAACGCAAATTTATATTACGACTCATTTTCTAGTAAACGTGATTGAAAGAGAACGTAACTACGAAGGTACAGGTAGAGAACGTAGCGGATTCAAAGCATGCAGAGGAAGTTCAGCTTGCCAGCAGCGTAAATGGCGCATGTTACAACGAGATTAACAAATCATGGGAACCAGTGGTATCAGGCGCAGTATCGGGCTAAATTGAAACGTATGTATATTTATTACTCGTTGTTTCATTTTTTTCGTCCTTTAATCACATCTTCGTTCTTCTATGTCTCCAATACTGCCCTAGATGCTATCGACAATGGATAGCATTGATTGTTCCGAACGTTACGTCACGAGTGCAATTTCCTTAACGAGCCTTCTTATCTAGTTAAGGCTTTTAAATATGCTTTCCTATTTGGTTAACAGTGGCGATTTAGCTCGCCTTCAGCGATATTTTCTACGGTTAGATCTTGATTAACTTGCGCTCAAGAAAGGAAAACTGAGTATAGCTGAATCTTTATTACCTACCCCGTTTAGTTTTCTAAGAGTTACTTAATAATTACAACTTTGATTTGCTCGTACACAAGCTTCATGTTCCCGCAACGCTAATTATATATAGAATTCGTAAATTTGAACGGTCAACTTTCCGTAACCAGTAGTTTATTATTTCCTCGATTCATGGCAGTGTCACATTTTTAGTCTCCTATGCCGATTTTGCCTGCGCTTTGTGCCTGAACTGTGTCCTATTTATAAATTATTCACATGTATGGTATTGCGTTGAGAAGGAAGCGCATTGGGTAAAGTCGAAAGTACATTTGCTTTCTGGTAAGAAATAGCCACCTTGAGATTTTACGAACTATGCGACCTTAACTCTTCGGTGCAGCGTTCATTTCCTATTGGTCTATTTTGCACGTTGCTGTCGACATTCTGCTTCTTGACAATTTACCCGACACAGACGTGTACGACACATGTAACTAGTGTTCCCTAATTTAGTAAATCTTTGCATCGCCAATATCTTTTTACATCGCCTCCTCACCGCCTAGTTGTTATCATTATGGTCTCGATGGATGTGGCTACAATTTCTTATTGCACGCAAAAGTTACATCTCGCCCCTTCTGTTCCTTGACGCAAAATTATTTAATTTCAAATTTAACGTACACTCGAATTTACCTTCTCCCGGTTGCCCTATACGCATTGCAGTCTACACATAGAAAAATTACAGACCTGTACCTTCCATCGCATGCGCTGCTATGAAACAGAGAAAATCATTAACACAATGAATAGTCAAGTACGGCATATATTTTAACCCTAAAGTGAGTGAAATAAAACCATTTGTGCCTGCTTTCTAATGTCATGCTTCACTCTCTCAGTGATAACAACTGCCCCATGTGCAACAACAAATTGAATAGGATTCTATTATTCGTTTAGGATAGCATCCGAGTTGTGAATGCTCGATTCTATGGATAGTGCACCAGCACCGCTGATCCATAGCGGAAGACAGACTCCGGTCTCTTGGGTATCTTTGTATACTATAAATTTATTTCTAAACGCTACGTAACGTATATCAATAATCCGTAGCTAGATAACGGCCGCCTCGTATTTCCACAGGGCGATAGCTGATATTTATGCACATCATTCAATTTGCAGCGCTTGCCGCTTCAATTGATTGATTCTTTTTTTCGTTACGTAATGTCCTAGGTAATGTCCTATATATGTCGGCTTTCTTATCGTTATAAGCCCTAGTGATTTTTTTATTTATGCTTATCATCTCTTTACTCCACTAGAGGATATGGCTCAGCAAAGTAGTGATCAACATCGGCGAGACAGAGCCCAGGAATTGTCTGTTTTTGTTATGAAGTCTCAAAACAACGCAGCGCCTCGATGAGTTTCTCTCGTGGTTATAGCCTTTCAAACGGTATTATTGGATGATACATGATCACGTTCGACGATCGTGATGATAATGGGCGATCTCGACAAAGGTCGTGCAGCCCAATATGCTCTGGCCCGACTGATTTGATCCGATCTAAATGCCAGCCACTTCTCCTCTCTCGTTTTGAAAGGCTTATAAAAGGCAATTATATGAAGATGTCCTTCGTAGTCATCAGCGGATGGATACTAAAATTCTTCATAAATACGTTTCGATTCTAATGGTCAGGACACGACCAGTCATTTGAAAACGTACTGTCAGAGCAGAACTGAAGACTTAGAGAGTCAGGTTCGACAATCTTCCTGTGGACGTTTCGCAAAAACGATATCAGATACCGAACAGCCAACATCGATGGCGCTATTACATACGCACACACTCGTAGCGCCATCAGAATATGGGCGTACATAGTAAAGGCTCAAAAAGTAAATATATAGAGGTTTAGTGTCTGAAATACACCGTTAGCATCTATAGGCATACGATCTAAATATACGATAGAAAATCGAGTTTTACGTCCCGTAATACTGTTTTAATTAAGCATTGCGTGACACGGTCGACCCCTCGAAGTGTGTCCACGTTCGGCTTTCAGCTTAGGCACGTGCCGTTAAACTTATTAGCTTAACACGTAACCACCCTACCATCACTTCTGCTAATTATTGCAGTGTGAATCTATGGCTTTTCCTTGTATATCATTGTTTTCCCGAGTTATTACAGGCTTAAGGAGGTAGTGAGGTCCATCTGTACCCCAATGAATTAGCCTTCAAGCCAAGTGTAGTATGTAGCAGCACTCGTAACCCCGGTTGGGTATATTAACGGGATGAGGAAGAAGCATATCCGCATAGTCAATTATGCATATTGCTTCGAGCCACGTTGAGCGTCGCAAGCTTTTAGAATCGCCGCATATCTATATGGTACACTGCTTTATATATGTCAGCATGATTATGGATTCAAGAGTCAAATCGAACGGCTAGTTTAATTGCTTTAAGCTACCGTAACTCGTCGGTCTGCGAATAGTCCGTAGAGGCAATATCTATCAATTAGTAAGCTTTTCCTTTCATTTTTTTTAAGTAAGATACATTTTTTGGCTACGCCAACTTAATTTTTTGCCTTTTCTTAACTTTCCATCAGGCGCTCTGTTTGACTGATCATATTCGCACTGTGGCGTAGATCCGAACGTTGCAATACGGGAGCGACGCGTCGGCAGAAAGTCAGAAAAATATAATAGCAACCCGGTCAGTACGACAACAAAACTCGAAGAGCAGAACTTACAGTGGCGCCCTAACTACTCATATACTGACATATTGAACCGTTTTTCTGGGTATATATATATATATATATATATATATAGATATACATATATGTGTTACACAGTTGTGTGCTCCACGATAGCTGGTGTTGTTTTAGCCCCTTGGGCAAGTTTACGTTCACTTAATTCTGGATACGTCTTCTTTTATAAATTGGTCGTCGCCGAAACAGCGGTCGTGGCGACGGCAAAGTCGATCAGAAAATCAGTCGCCGTACTGTTTATTTTTCTTGTTGATGGTCTGAGAACCTACTGACACAGAAACGGGAGACACAGACAGCAGAAGAAAGCGCGTAGGCTTCGTCAGAGGCCGGAGGTTAAAGGGAGACTAGTGAAAGCATCGGGTAAAAGGCGCACAAGCTGATTTAAAGGACAAGTCAAAAGCCAAAAAAAACACGTTGAATTATGCCGAAGTAGCCACAGAGTGAGTCAGAATACCTGTTCCCTCTTAAATTTCTCCAACCTTCACATGAACTTATTTGGGACATGTAATCAAACCATTTTATGATGAAACGAATTCATGTTAACACTGAAACGGATATGGATCAACGACAGCGCTGCCGTGTTCGTCTATAAGTTGCTTACAATCCAAGCTTTTCTCAATATATGATGAAAATAATGCTATTACTACAAACCCAAAGAACTTCTAACCGTGGATGCATTCTATATGTGTAGAGACAAGGTTTTTTCCGTACCCCCAACGTACGGAACCCGACGGGGAGTTTGAAATATATTTGAGAAAAAGAAGAAATATGGTAAAAGTGTGAAATCTGATTGGTTTATCGGAAAAGAAAATGCAAAACAACTATAAGCGGTCTACTGGAAACGATTTTATATTTGGCCCACAACCTAGTGAGAACGTAGTACTATTTTATAGACTTCGTCATCGCAACAGAGTTGGAATTATTGATACATAGCCCACAGAGACATAATAAATGTGAAATAATACGATATTATTTAACCTCAAAACATATTATATTTGTAATTAATTTCCAGGAAAAGCCACATATGGGTATTCTGTGAGAAACAAGTCATCCGTCTTCTCGAAGTGCAAAGGGATAACAATAAAACACGAAAATGTACCAAATTAGTGTTGAAACATCGACTCCGATCGGTCTTTTATACCATTCTAACCTAGGCAACACCACCGCGCTGCTGTGAGTATTTGTGGTGTCCTTATTATAAGTTTCCTTATAATTATTTTATGTGAATCAAATTGATGTAGGCTATCGTTGCCAACCCATGTCCGGTCACAATTTCACGCCACTGGCAAATAGGCAGGATTTTCATTACCTTAAGTATTCTACTAATTTTATAATTCTAGCGACAAAAACTTTTGTATCGGAGTCTCTTCGAGTACACTTTGTGTATGGTGCTGACATGCTCAACACTGGCGCTTATCATGCTAAATTGTGGGTAAGATCATATTTGCTTTTTTACGGGACCCCAGGAACTACACTTGTGCACGTAGTATAGGACTCATTTCACTGGAATACTATCTATTTAAACTAAGTATCCCAACCTGAGGTATAGTGAAGGCCATCGAACCCTTAAAGTCAGTCGATAGAATCGCGTCATTTCAGTAGAACTTTACTTCGAAAGAAATGGTATACTCCGCTGGCCGCCTAGGTGGTTCAACAAATTACAAGCACCTATATCTAACTAGAAAAACTTAGTCACTGAAATGTAAATCCTTTAGCATAGAATCGACCTGTAATAGGACCTCCTTGAATATGTAGAGTCGATTTCGACACTTAAGAAGCGGCTCTCGGCCTATGGCTGTGGTAGACGACGTACGGGTGATGGTCCGTCTATTTCAGTGTATTGAAGTGCAGCAAAAATCATTTGATAGATATCCCGTTGTTTGGCTTTACGTCTGATTCGGATTGCACTTCCCTCGGTATGAGCTTGGATATTTTTACTGGAATTGCCGTGTTGCATTAACTGACTTGGTATGCAAAGTATATATCTCTATTTTGTAATCCCTATGGTGCCATAGTGTACCAGTCACTTACGTCATGCATATATGTCTTTAGTAATCCATGACGATGCATCAGGTGAGAGAAAGGTTTAAATCTGTAAACGAAGCCCGCTTGAATCATTTGCGCATTACGGTAGATCTTTTCGAGTAGAGACTTGTGATGCCAATCGATCAAGAATTATATCGTACCGTATCGATTATCGTACCGTAGCGCTGGAGTGCGAAAAATAGATTTCGTTGTGCTTCTACGATAGTTGGTTGAATAAGGCAGAATAAATGTACGCGGCTGTATGTAAATAACAGCTTATAATACAGGCTCACGTCCAATCATTCACTGATCGCCTGACAACATAATACGAACCATAGAAATTAAGCGACTACACTACTGCATTAAATTCTTTTTTTTTTTATTTTATAGAATATCTGTGAGCGTTTGTGTGGTGTGGCTTACTGCATTTAACTTAATATAGAATTCAAGCTATACTAGTTTAGGCGCATGTACCTCTCCATAAGTTAAACTGGCTTGATTCGTCTCTTCGCTTGGCCGCAAAATGTCAAAGGTTCACGTTTGGCTATTGTTCGAATCACAAATTCAGTGTCGGATGATACCTTGCTGGTCTATGAATTTTTCACGTTTTGCGTCATTGCGGCACTTTAGATAATTTTTCTCTTGGTTTGTAACGAACGTTCACCGAACGCTGTCGGACTCGCTAGCTGCCCTTTCGCGTACTTCTCATTTTTCGCCCGTCCGATATGCTTTTCGACCGTCTACGCTATCCATTCCGTCCTCATCTCTCTGTGGCTTTTGAGGTTTCGTCGCTTTTTGCCTGATTATATAACATGGCTTTCCGACGCCCGTTCACCGTACGATTCAGTTGCTTTTTCCATTGAGATAATCGTCAGTCGACTTCATCAACAACGGAAAAACGATGACGACTTGTATGCTTTTGTGGCACGCGTACTTCTCTCCCGTTCTTTCCCTGCGCCTTCAGCCCTCGACGACAACGACGATAATGGCTGCTAATAGTACTGTGCTCAGCGAAGGTTTTCTTCAGAGGTGCCACCTCAGACTACGATCACTTGGGCATAGTCGGTCTGCGTTCAGCACAGAGATTCTTGATAGACGCTATTCGACGGGATAGCTCGACGATGGGCTGTAATATAACGTCGTCACGCAAGCTCCAGAACTACAGAATGAAAACGAAGAGTTTTCAGTTATTGTAGTGATAGCAACTGGTGGCCATTGCTGCTTGAACGTTTTTCGGTGGATGTAAGTCAACAAATTCGTACGGATCACTCTGATTCGTACGGGATATTGTTCGGTTGACGGCTACGAATGCACTGATTAATAACTTAGTAAAGTTACCAATCGCTTCAGATCGAACATCGATGGGCGCGCTCATACGCATGTACGAGCTAGCGGAACGACGATTCGTCAATGTGAGAACGAAAAGCATTATTACACAAAAAAATATTTGCACAATTGCGGTAATTCTTATGACCGGACCCACAATATACTGAATGAGAAATGATTTAACGGATGAATATGGTAATATGTAATTTTTTTACTATACATTTGCCTTATTTGATGTTCTCTATTTACCACTGCGCAGAAGACAACATGCGATCCTTTCTAATAATACGTCCTTAGCATCTCCTAAATGCAACACGACTCTGTTCATAGTCCAATAAACCATCTCTAATCATTGATGCCATAGACCTGTGTTGTGCAATAATAATAATAATAGTATCAATAAGAATAATTTTTAATATTATATATGCCTGCCATAGACCAACCGTTAATACAGACCTGGGCATTATCCACACGCCCGATCTGTCCGTGTATATTTACGATACATTTTCTCATCTGCAACCCGAAGCACGATCGTGTCCGCCCGTCTTTCCAGTTCACGTCTTTACGGCCATCTGTGGCAATATTCTGCTGCAGCAGCTACGGCCCCAAATGGAATGGGCAAAACAAAGAATGATCTAGGTGCATTTCGCCGTCTCTGTCGTCGCTAGTGAAGGCAGAGCGTCTCCTTCGGCGTCAGCTCCGGTTCCGTCGCTTGTTGCGTCGGAGAAACCTGCAAAACGGACCACTGCAGGACAGTAGGAGTAGAAGCCAATGGCCACTAAAGCCATTTGGTTGTCTTTTGAAGTGGCTTGCCTACTTGCTTTTTCACACGACAAATTGAACGTTCTTTCTTCTTCCCGTTCAAACCGCGACGTTCCCGGCCACCTGGCCGTGTGCTCGATGCTGTCGTTTTCGCAGTGGCGGATGGATAGTATCTTCACCATTGCGACTATTCTTGTTATCGTTACTGCTATGAAACGTACTTCGCGAGGTAAATGCCCACTCCCCACCATCCTCCTCCGCAAAACGGTTACAGTCCCACAAGTGCAGAAGCATGCTTATGTGTCTGAACACTATGATCACTGTCATTAGCTGACGTCACGAGATCAAGATGAGGTGAAATCTATGTTGGCTGGACAACTGGCCGTCACTCAACCAAAAACAGCACCAGCTAACGCCGAGATGTTGGACAACGTTGCGGACGACGCAATTGACCCGTTTTTTTAAGCACGTTATTGGTGTGAGCTTTGTAGTAAAGAGAACCATCTGCTATATATACTCACACGTTATTCCATCACTTGGCTATAGACACAACTGCTATAGTGGCAAAAAGCAGCTATGATTCTGAATATTGCCGATCGCGGGCAGCCGAACATTAAGTAACGTAGTTTATTGACATTTTGATCACAGAGGGGCTCAGTGCAGGCTACGAAAATACGACTTTTGCGGATTACCAGTTCCTCTGCCGCCGAACCCAGGAATCGTGTGATGCAAAAAGATGGGCCAATGTTTTAGTATGAAGCATGTAAGCCTGTTTATATATAGCACACGTAAACGTAGGTCGGCAGTGTTAAGTATAACCGTTCTTAGCGAAGTTGTGTCTTCAATTATGCTAAACTTAATTTCAATAGAAGCATACATACACATGTGTTGTTTGTCACTAGTCCGTTTAATAAAATAATGTATACGAGTAGGACTAAACGAATCGGATGATCAACGCTCCCATGTTATGCCCGTGTATCAATATGCCTAATAAATCTAGATAAGCTGCTGCATGGCAGAATGCACTTCACAAGCTGACGAGACTTCAGATGAGGCGGCACCCAACTTCAGAACATCAATAGCTTTATGATAGGTCCAAAGAAACTTACCTTCGTAATATATATTCCAGCTTCCATTTCATTAAACACTGTACAAATTGTTGTAGATAAAAACAATATAGTGTTTCTAAAAGATTACTAATCGTATCGATAATATTTGGATTTTGCTATGGACCAACGTTATTCATGGTAAAATAGGTCGTCACATATGCAAGACAACATGGACCCTTTACCTTGTGTAAAATGTGAAAGAAAATGCCATACACGTAATGTTGCAGGACAAGCCACACTTCCAAACGCTCGACCTTATCGACCATATTATGAAAAAAGGCCCGCTAACCTATACTGTAAGTGTGACATCTAGAAAGTTAGCTTTGTCCTATTAAACATTTATTATCTAAAATGAGAAGCTTTGTCCTTCCCTGTATTTCCATTGACATAAACTTTTCTTGAATTAAAAATGTGTTTCCAATCAATACTCTGCGCAATCCTTGCGCTCTACGTTTTCGTCGTGCACGAGGTCGGATCGAGGGGTGAAGGGGGAGACGAGGTGAATGCAGATGTTTATGTGCCGACAGCTACTTTGGCTGTGCGAGCGTGGTTGCCTTGTTTTTGCTGTCGTTGTTGCTTGTGTTGTTATTGTTGTTGTCATGGTATGGCGATTAGCTGGTACGGGGTACATGTTATTGACGCGTTACATAATCCAGAAAAACCGACCTTGTCCGACTTGTTTGCGGCCGCCACTTCGGAGAACGTGCGCGTCTGTTCGTCTACGAAATACGGCATCTCCGGCCTTGACTCTGACGCCGGGGAAAGGCGACAACCGTTATGGCCGCAAAAGCCACAGTAAAATTCGAGTGATTACAACAGCAACTCGTTAACAAAAATATAATAAAGCGCTCCGACTACAACAAGCGCAGTAAACAGCGAGTGAAATAATGACGAATCGAGCAGAATTTTCGAAAAAAAAAGCTCACGGGCGCAATATGCAACAATAAACTAGAAACAGATAGTGATTACCGTTCATGCTGCAAACGGGGAGAACTTTGTGCTCATCAACGATCCGTCCTCGTCGTACAAATGTTGAGTTACGTTAGCCTATACAAAGTTACGTTTTGACGGATTCATTGTTCGGTTTCGAATTGTTGCCAAAGTCCATTGTGTATCAGTTTTCAGAATAATGCACCAGAAAAAGCAACATATGTTTACAAATGTCGCCTTTTTTCTAAAACGGTCACACACATATCTTTCGTATATTTTTTGCCACAGCATGGTATGACCTAATCTATATACATTAAATGTTTTTACGACAGCTTATAGGTTAAGTGAAAACATGGGCTTGAACTCAATCTAATAGCTTTATACATACATTTATATATATGAGCGGGCTACATAAATCGTTCCACATATCCAATTGATTTAAAACTATTATAAAGTAATCATTACACTTACGAAGAGACGTCGACCTATCGATTGACAGCTCTGAACAAATATAAAGGGTTTCTGGGTCGACGTGGAGGTTTTTGCAATCTCGTTGCAAGCGCCAGCTGCTTTTGGTCATAGTTGAAAAACGTTGATTTGATCGTCATCTAGATATGTTTTAGATATTTTTTTTTATGCTCTTTAGCAAGTTCTATGGGCAGCGCTGTGACCATGGCTTTGATGACTGGCCACTTTCACGCCTCACTGAATACATGAAATAATATGTGAGTTTCTGGCATTTAGATATATGATGGCAAACAATTTGGTATGAACTTACAATTAAGGGGGCAAGGCAAATGCTCTGAACGCGTTCTCTGTGGAATGGAACTTCCATTCAAACATTACCAATAGAATGTAATAGAAGGGTCTATCACTGTTAAATATTGGATCCGTATGTATTGATTTGATAAGGGGCGAAAGAAAACAAAGCAGACTAATTGAGATTAGCCATCAAACACGGTAATAGTCGGCCATAACTCTAAGCTTAGCATATACGAAGTTACAAATACTTGGCCAAGCTAACAATTGCCTCTAGCAATTTTACTCGTAAAAAAATTCAAGCATCATCGATATTTTCTACACTGCAAACATACGGAATTGATTTTTTTAATACTAAAACGACTGTCTTAACCACCGAACTTTTTATATCGGATTGGTACGGTTTAAATGGAATGCGAAAAACCAGCTTCATGGTAAAGAACTAATCTAAATAAAAAATATTTGACAAATAAAACAACTGTCTAGTAAAACTATAATAAAAGTATTTCGTACATTAAACTGGCATTCGATAAAACAGATATAATTCTATTTAAAAAGTGAGTATTGAACTGATAAAAAATTAACCAATCATATCAGGATTATTACATATTTTGCCGACAACAAGTGCTTTTATTGTAACTGATTTATTTACATCAAGGAATAGATAGTTGTTTCTATAAGAAAAAAAAAAAAAAAAAATCCGTTGAAATGAACGTGCTTCTCTAATCGTTGCAGTCATGACACGTTTTTAGGCAACTTCCCCTTGAAGCTGCGCTACCCTCCGCATTACCATTGTCGCAAGCCCATTCAATGGACCCAAATCTTCAGCACACCATCGAGCTGCAACAAGCATCTTTACGTTCAGCTCATGCTCTGGGCTTCTGGATCATTGGGGTCATCCTCTTGGCCATTTCGGCCTCTACTGGACTGCTTGTATGCAGAAGTCCCCGGGGCACGGGACGTCGTGTCACTGCAAACGGGACGATGCTAAGGGGAATGTAAGTGAATCTTGCTGACATGTATTAAATAATACATTTCATAATAGATGCTACACGGTTTGTGAGATTCAAATTGTTTTATATATATTTCACAAATAAGAACTTAAGGAACGTTGTTCGTTAGTAAAAGATCCAGAAATTCTACTCAGCCAAACTCCGAAATGTTGTGCTCATAATAATTAAGCTTATACCGATATCGAATAGGGAATCCGCAGTGTCCTTTTGGTGTGGCAGGCTATGATCCGTACCGCAGACTGATAATGTTGATAATAACGGCGTATAACACGAACGCTACGGTCGTACGCCATAGTATCAGTATTGAGGTAGATGAAATCGAAATTTACACGCAATTTGAAGTTTGATGTCGGTAACAACAGCGGGAAAACTCAGTAAGTTAGTGTGCGTATTTAAATCCAGACACTCTTTTAAACGCTGTGAATTTCAGTTGGAGTGGCACTAGCCAAAGCTTAACTCTGCCATTTTGTAGCTCTGCAGCACGTACCTTTTCTAAGGAGCGCGAATTCTGCGCTGTATGCAGGCTTCATCTTCAGGATGTTAAGCAATCAACCACAGTTTTCGCACCTCAGAGATCGCAGTCCTTATCAACGATATCCTATGGTGAGTAACCTAGACATGTTTTGTTTTGTGAGATGTGTATTTACAGACAAATATATAGGTGATCTTGTCCGCTGATCCATCTTTTCGCAGAGCAGGGTCTGGATATTTTAGCGTCCTTTTTTTTTGCTAATTTAATTTACTTATTGACTGTTGTGTCCCTCTGCTTATAACCAGACGCAATAAATATCAACTAAAGTATGTATTCACACATTTCGCTACACCTAGATAAGAGATTGCCGTTGCATGCGCATTCATATTTAGATAATTCTAGTTATCTCGATTCTAGGCAGCCTGCGGCTGGTTCAATACAAGAACTCATCTTGTTTCGAAACGTAAGCCTCTATACCACCGTATCGATTTACTACGACACTCGTAGAGTAATTTTTCATTTCTCTAGCTCGTATTATTTATCCATTGCTAAAATACGTTACCAACCAAGCCAGCAATGCACCCCAAAAGTATGTTCCGTTTATCATTAGCAACGTTAATGGTTGTCATGCTGTTTTAAAGGTCTGTTGAAGAAACCTCAGGTAAGTCCATAAACACCCATTTAGGTTAGACTTTTAATGGGAACAAATCCTTAATACCACAGCTAAAAACAGGCGACACCGAGTGTTTGTTCGCACAAAACTAGTAACTAGTAATAATGTCAAACAAAGAAAAAAGTGCATTGCTCCGTTTAGTCACAGTATTTCTTGAGTGCCCTAAATATACAATAGATATTCGGTATAGATATGTATAAGTGCACTGGACGGAATTACTCATCTTTTTCTCTTTGGTGCCCAGTTGAGATGGCTTATCAGTTGTGCCCTGTTTAAGTTCCGGCTGCTCACATATCTATCTATTTGTGTTAAGTCGATTTAACGCAGAACCGCCATCTTCTACGACAGCTTCTAGATTGTCCCATTTATTATAAGGCGATATAAAAGTTGTTGCGGTTATCTGAGTTCTAACTAGACCCTCACCCACCCGCCAACTTTCACAGCCGACTCGGCGGGGTTCACGTCCGAGGTATGATCCGCGAAGGCGAGGCGAAGCAGGTTTTTACTGCTTCCTTCGTTTATGCTGCGCTTACATTAAGCTGTCATTGAGGTTCAGTCGGCACACGGATGTGCAGTTTGCAGCATAAAAGTTGTATTTGCTCAGCCTCTGGCATGACGAACCACATTCTTCCCCGATCTGGTCTATGGGCGCGCAGAAGATGTGTCACGCAGAAAGAAGTAAATCTGCCCGCCATGTATTACTCCATATTAAATGTGGCTGCAACACGACAACCGGTCGGCAGTGAAGCCAGCTTGCGCCAAGACGTATGGCGATATGGCGGACCGAGATCCGCAAAAAGCAACTGTAATCTACTACTATTACTGTCGTCGTGGCGGCAGTGGTAGCAATCAGTCCTCACTTTCACTTTTGTTTATGGTACTTCAATTATTGTTGTTATTATCATTGTCTATATCGTTTTCGACGGCAGCATGGCTTTCGATCGATGGATATAACGTCTTAATTCGTCCGTTTGCTATAACAGTCGCGGAGAGCGGGCAGATTAATAGCGTCTCTTGGGGTGGATTCTCTTGCTTGTACGTTACATCAGTTGAGGATATGTAGAGAATATAAAACTGCTTGAGTAAACACCTGTTTCATGTGGAGCTCCTGTGACAACTGTTACTTCAATCACCGCAGACGTTTTCCATGGTGCGTTTCACTGGACTTAACAGAGCCCAAGATGTTATGCCAGCTGTACAAATTTAGTCGAACTATATAGTTACGTTTGTCTCAGATGTTTCTGCTGTATTCTACTCAGGAAGTCAATCCTAGTACGTTTTTGATCTGATGAAATGAAATTTCGGGTTACTCAGATCGATTCCCACCAATCGCGGTGTTCGTGTTGCCCTACCTAAGTCGGCGAAGTAAACACTTCCGGAGCAAACTGTTTATGCCCATACTATACTGGCTCTATTGCACACGAATACAGACACCCACACGTGCGAACCTCGACGTTCGAACCTATTGTTAGTTTGGCGTGGATTCCTATTCAGAAGTGTTTTTGTTGTTCGCTGAAGCACACAACAACATATAGCATATAATTTAGCCAGTCAGTGGAACTGCTGCTGCTGCGACAACTATGTCATCGTCTCACGGATATACGGCTCCCTTTTTATGGGGCAGATTTCCGAACAGCCCCGCGGGCAAAGCCGCAGAGGCTCACCATTCAGCTAGCGACGTTACCAGCGGCAATCGCAGCACGCGCGGCAGAAACAACATCGCGTTAAGACTTCTATGTGCGTTGTTGATGCCACTTCCTGTTCTGTCGCAGTTCAAGACGCCACGACCAAGCTGGCAGGTATAGTCAGTAAAATCCAGCCAACCGTCATCAATTTCGTGTTTCCTTTCATTTCGATGACTGCCACTACGATTGCCGCCACTCCTGCTTCGAACAGAACATACCCCCATGTCTAGTCAAGCAGCCCTATTTAATCGAAGCCAACTATTAAGCTCGGCTTTTTTTATGCCTTGGCTTACGCTAGAAAGATCTGCAATACGGCACCCTCCAGACGCCGCCGTATTTTTGCCAACCTCCTGTGGCTGTCAAGTATTTCACCACCGCAAAATGTTCTATTCTGCACACGGACAAACGCGAGCCCATCCCATGCAAAAGACCCGACGTGCAACGAACTAGAACGAACGTACGTATATAACGTTAATACATTATATTCTCTGCTTGCACATCCAGTCAGAGCTCGGACGCCTTCGTATTTGTCCAATCAGCAGGAACTGAACGAACAGAAATACTGTGCGGTATGTTACGCGATTAGCTGGATAGAGAGAGCGGAAAAGTTGTGATGGATAGATTTATAGAGAGAACAAACAGATGGATTCTGATCACTGCCGAAATGAACTCTACATATTGATACAGGCTGTTGGGGTGTTGAGCATAAACAGATAACAGTCAGCATTGTTGGCATCATCGTCATCATCACGATCACTAGTGACTGCCGTAATATCGACCGCATGGTGCATAACTGTAAGCTGTCGTGTTGCAAGGAAGACCTCGTCGGAAAGAAATCAAAGTTTTCGAATGAGGAAATAACCATCGAAATGGAATAGCGCGTGGTTATAATCGCGAGAACAGCAAAATGCCGTGACGTAGATGAAAAGGTCAGAGATGCAGACGGATTGTCAGCTGAAACGATAGCGTCATCTTTGCATATGCCTCACAAAGGGCATCTGAATTTCGTTATGAATATGATGATGATGATTATTATTATTATGTCCCGCTGCATTGAGGGATTCAATGATGTGTGCGTCCTTAAGAAGTTGAAGCTGCGAAGCCTTCTGCTGAAAGGCAAACAATGGGAACGCTCAACAAACACAACAAATTTAGTAACACTATACTTACCTTCGGATTAAAATTTATACGCTCACATCAGGTAAATGTCTCAAGCGTATCTTTGAGAACAGAAAACTTTGAATCTCAAAATCGTTCTTTGAACTGCGGATAAACATCGGTGATTTAACCACGCTTCATACTGGATTAAAGTGCGGCACTTTTTCATCCGAAAATACAATATTCGTTGCTTTGGCGGATTTCTAGCACTTCCTGCTAATCTACAGTCATATAACGAAATTCAATTTTCTTTTTTTCAAAAAGTTTCAATATTTCGATGGAAAATTGCCGTTATTAGCACATAACCAGGTTTAGTCTCAACCGTTTAAGTGACGAAATAGTGTGAAAATATACGTTTACGACGGCTAATCAACAATACTGACTAGGCCGAATTTCCAAGACTCAGCAGTGACGGAATTCATTGTATGCTTGAGTATTTTGTCTAGAAATAAAATTAGATTGCTTAACTGTAGCCGATTGCCTTTGACTTTACCCAGAAAATTGCTAGAAGGTTCCTCTTGAAGGTCTAACTTGGGACCTACTATTAGATGAAACGTAATTATGATCCAACTATTCCCGGAAGTTTTCGAAATGCCGCTATTGATCTGTGAGGATCTTTGCGGTGTTCTTTTACGTTTTCTATTTTAAGTTCGTCTGCAGTTTAACGTAATATCCGAAATCCGGCTCTCACATGGTGACGCGTAGAATTAATATAGGCTAGACCTAAAGCTGACAAAAGCGTGAACAAGTTAGCCTTTTATAGAATACGAAGCACATATCGAGGATCGTAAATTTTTAGGACATAGTAATTTGCTCGCTTCACTGTGTCCTAAAATTTTTTCCGCGCTGTTTATTTTACGGTGATTTGCACGTTTAAACCCTTGGACGTTTTTCTAGTAAAGAACTATTGATAAAACTGTTTCGCTTTCTTTGGGAAAGAATCATACAATTTCTCGATACGACGCAGCTATAAGAAGCCGCCGGCGTGACATCCTGACGATCACTGATACCATTCGACTATTTGCTATCATGCCACTTTATGTCGATCATTCAATCGAGGAAGAAATTCGTTGACGGCCGCATTGCTTAACAAGAGCGCTGCTTTAAGCCGCTCAACGGAAGCGCAACGCCAATATATCAAAGCTATTAACTTAACAAGTTCTTAATTTTCTTTAATATTTTCCCATTTTATTGATATTGCCTACTCATTTGTCATTTAATTGCTATTTCAGAGGTGGACGACGCTCCTCCACCATACGCATCACTCGAGAACCTTACCTCGCCAGTGGAGGCTCGAAATCCCGTGTTACAAACAGTTATACAGGTGCAAACGCCACAGCCGCCGGTAGCCTTCTGCGCCCATAAGTTCCTGAACGCACACTGCTAATACACTGAATTGAAGACCAAAGCGTTCAATTCAACATTCACACCTTAGGACAACGTCAAGTGAGACTAAAACGGATATTCTTTCTTTACCCAGTTGGGCAAATCTTGGGGGACGCGCCATATAAAAAAAAATGATGAATCTTTAAAGTATTCGTGATTTCGACAATTCGGTGTATTTAGGCCCTGTGGTAGATTTGCATCGCAAGTTTATTTTTAGTATAGAGACACTCCTAAAAGATGTATCATAATTGAAAAAATCTAGAAACCCGTGTCTTTACAGTTAGTGACATACATGACTAAGCTAGTAAGTGATAAGTTGACGAAATGACGCCGGACGTTAGTGATACATGGTACATATTAGGAGGATTTCAATACTTTAGCTCAGGGTGATGGAGCGAATAGTTATAGTAAAATATTGCCTTACCTCTTTCCCCAATGCGTCTTCATTAGTTATTTTCGAGTGCACTGATTAACTGTATTTATTCCTTATATTAAAGTATGTTAATGACTCAGTGTGTGACGACCCATCCTCGTTCGACCGCACTTACATGATTGTGATGACCTAGTTAAATAAAATACAAATTTTTAAACATTTTTTTTCTATTTGGGGAAAGATCAAGAGCATATATAGACACTTATATGTATACGGCACAGTCAGTCGTTTTTCCTCCAACAAAAGCACAAATGACAATTCTTTTATTCGATCGACGAATCGATACTCATATTAGGTGAGATCAACTTTATAAAGCAGCCTGTTCGAAGGTACATTAGCCTTTAATGGCCTGCAATCTCCTCCGAACTGTAGCATTCTATAATATGTATGAACAAGCGAATAGACGTCTTATATAGATCAACATCTTCGTTGTGCGGGATACGTTGGCTTGCAAATGGTTACTTAAAACCAGATGGCTTCGGATGCAGACTGCGGGAAAATGCAAAAAATAAATTGAATCCAACAGAGCAACTACGAGTGAATAGAGATGGACAACAAATTCGAATTTTCAATTCCAAAGAGTATACGATAATATCGAAAACATCATGCGTTTGTATATAAAGTACACTAAAATGTAAATAAAGTAATTGATTTTTATACGGGAAGGTGTTGTTACTGCAGCAATATTCGATTATTTGAGAATATAATTTATTACACTTGTACATCACTACACATTATTTAATGCGCTTTGTTTTGTAGACGAGCATTATGGGTGAGACGAAGCAAGCCCCTGATCGGTTAGGTAGACAGCACATAGATGGAGTGCTTTATACAAAAGTGTTGCTTTTACTACTACGTTAAGGTTTTCGCCATACGTTGCTTTAGAGGGCTGGCTTCTAACACGAAATGAGGCATGCTTAGGGTAGATTTCGAACTTTGACCTACCTCTTAGGTCCGTTACCTCAATAGGCGAACATGTAGCATCACAGAGACTCTGGAGCCCATTCGTAAAACATGTACATCCACTACATAGCCCGAACAACACAAAATTCAGGCTAGTTAAACCTGGTTTCGCTACGTCCGAGGACTAACAGTATGTTCATTGGAATAATCTAGTTCCAGCTGCTTTATTCAAGTCAGAGCCAATATGGCGCCTATGAACAATTATTATAGGTATATGTTTATTTTTGTGATTATAAGCGAACTTACCAAGGATAAATTTTACCTCATCGACTCAAGTTTGTTCACAGATAACGGCGCCCATTAATTAAATACATTTGAAATATTACCTATGTTAATTTAAATAATTATTTTGATTTTACGCAAGCTATGTAATAAATATGTTTTGTGTTGAATTTTGAACTAGCAACACACAACTGTACATCCATATCTTATAACCGCTCGCAGTATAAATATTTCGGATTTCTCTTTGTGGTTGCCCAAATTTGCGTTAATTGCAATTAACATCTGGTCTATTTTTTACGGTAAGGTCCCAAGCACTCACAAGGGAAGACTGGTTGCCTGAACCCGCGTGCTCCTCATCATTCGCAGCGCCATTTCTACTTTATAGCTATCAACAGCCAGTTCTTAATGTCCCCTTTGCCAGCACAGCAGTCGTGTGTTACTTAGGTTGTTTACGGTTCCGGCATACGTTTTTACCGTATTCGTCGCCCGCAAGGTGTGCACTGCCTGCCTAGTGTTAAACAATTCATCTATCAGGGCGCGACCACTTCCGAAACGTGCCTGGTCGTTACAAAACGGACCAATGTCCTAGTCATAATAGGAACGAATTAAAGCAGAGGAATTCAATAGCCCATCTACCCGGCAAAAAAAAAACATTAAACTCATAAATCTGATCTGGATTGAGCAAACATTGAAACACAAACGACAACAAATTATCAGAACGGATGACCCGGGCATAACTTCTTTATGTAGATACGAACTGTAAACGGCGAAGTCAGACCTTAACATACAGACCAATAAGGTAAAAGACTTTTTTTCTTGCACGAGAATTGCCACGCTGTTTGAATTGGGAACAACAAGGGAAATATTTAGGATTAATAACTTCTCCATAGTCACTATCTATATAACAGGACCTACTGCGCCCGGTGTTTCGCTACCAGAACCAGGTTAAAGCTCAATTGGGTTAATACAGAATCAGTCATATATCTTACATGTACATCTGTACATTCGTATCAGATACGGATGTTTTCGTGTTGATAACATACCCCGATGTTCATCTCTTGACGCTGTTTGTACAACTAAATAAAGTTTGAGGTCGCTTGGTTCCGAATGGAGTTGCTGCGGATCAGCTTATACGATTTTCATATTTGCGGAGATTGTTGAAAATCTATACACACAGAAATAACAAGGATGACCGAAGTACCGAAAGGAGAATTTATTCTGTTTGTGTTTCTGCACGTCGGCGCTCATAAACATAGGCGCCAATACGAGTCGAATAGCACGGCTAATGTTGGCAAAACAAAAATTAGTTGACAGTAGAGGGCCCCATCGGATCTTCTGACTGGCTTGACAGTGACATAGCTGTTAAGAGAAAAAGCCACAAAATAGAAGAGGGTAGAAACTGAATGCATTCTGTAAGGTGACGCGATTTCACGGCGACAAGCAGAAAAGCAAACACTCAGCAAACTTACCTACGGAGAATTTCGTTCTTACCTACACTATAAGAACATTATCTACGATGACTTCTGTTGATTCCCGCCCAGACTAAACTTCTCTAAGAATTACTAATTTTTAGACTAATAGGACTTCAGCTAACGTTTCTAACCGTAGTCGCCGTACTAACAGTTACGGGACAAGCCTAACTCCTTCTAGTAGACCTGGAAGCAAATTGGATGTATTACATTGTAATTGCGGTGGAAGCGGCCAAACAAATTTTGCCGTTTAGTTTAGAAAACGAAATAACCCTGTTGTTCTTGAGACTTGCCTGGATTAAAATAGTGCGTATTTCTAGCTTTAGCGTTAGCTAGCTCGGCCGGCTCCGTTAGGTGCGCACTAGTCAGCGTTTGATGATGCAATTAAAATTTGAAATTGTCACAGAAATAGAAGAAAGGGAACTTCTGCTGTCAAAATAACTTTACAGTACTATGCATTTTGCCGGTGTTCATTTTATACGCAGTCGAACATTTGTTAATTGTGTGGACATCTTAGTGGATATTACTGTTATTAAGTATCTTAGTTGTGTGATTGACCCGCGTTGTCTTACCGTCTATTCGTATGCATCGTCTGATCGTCACAATAGGCACTTGATAAATTACATATAAAAATGTTCTTTACTTAACGATACGTTGAGTAAAATTGTTATTAGATCCTGTTGACTTCTGTTATTGACGAGTTTCGTCGTTTGCAATATGCGTTGATTGGTCTTTGCCACAAGTTGGCATGCATGTCGCCAGCCGGCTTTCTTGGATACACAGGTGATTTCCTTTACTATTGTTAACGCTCGCACGAAACGCAAAAAAGTATATATATATGTATATATAGTTTGGGAACTAGCATCCATACAACAAGTCATTAAACAGCAACACAAACAATATGTAAGTGAAATCTCGTCAAGCTGCGACACTACAATTTTTCTGGGCAATTTTTTGACGACTGCAAGTGCTATCCTGCACAGTAATGCACGAAGCTCTTCTGACCCACCAATTATATAACACGAGGTGGTTACGGAAATCATCACAGTCATCTAACAATTTTCAAAAATCCTATTTAATTTTAGTGTTAAATAGAGTCGTTGTAGTTGTAATTGTCCTATACTTAGACCCGTTACGTCAACAACACGTTCTTCCTATTAGCTTGTTGTCAACCTAGGCGAGCATTTTGCTAAGCGCAATAGATAGGCCACTCGAAATCAGCGAAAAGGAAGGGTAATTAGACTGTTAACCACAGTAACGGGGAACATACAGGACATTTCTTCCAATACTTTCCCTGATGCGGGAAGAGTGTGAGATTCAAAGCTTTTACATTCTAGGACAAGCTAGGTCATATTATAGTTGTTGATTATACATAGACGTCATGACAAAATAGCGCTAATTCAGACTCGATTCGCTCTGAGAAATTAGCTGTATCTCTCGAACCCGACATCTAACATAGCTTGCGGACCACTATTGCAACGACCATTTTCTTAGCGAGGCAAATTGCCTCCAAACCGGGACTTTGAGCCGATCCCGCTAAAGAGCCGCTAATTGCGATTAAGTTCAACTCCATAGCAGCCATTCTATTAAGATTCCTATTACAAGCGATCATCTAGGATATATATACAGGGTAAATGAAATCTACATATTGCCTTTAAGTAGGTGATCTTAAATGCCAGCGTTTGAAATTATAATAGAAGGACCGCTTATACACAATCTTTCCACGTTTATGATAAGAAGTCCCTGGCTTAGGCTTCCCTAAATTTGTTGGCATTTCATTTGTTTTGAGAAAATCTTGAGACAATAGTGCTTACTTCAAGCAGATATGTGCTAAATAGCGCCTGACCAGTGATCCACTCAACGCCTACACCAGTCGGAAAGTCTTCACCGAACAGTAAACAATGTATAAGACACACACACACACACACACAGTTTAAAAAAAACAGCTCCTTGCAGGTATTCGATTCTTCTGTG